CCTCTATCATAGCCAAATTGCAGAGGGACTCTGTGAGGATTGTATGTCTTCGATATTTGGCCACCTTCCCATATCGTGGGAAAATAACCAGGGGTGGTCATTAATAGAAACACCAACACCTCGATCACGTTTAAGCGATGAGCACCTGCTAAAATGTGTTCATCATCATCAAAATACATGGGCAGAGTTAAGGCCCCAGGCAGGATCATAGCATAAGGGCGACTAACAAATTGGAAGCTTTGGTCCAAGGTATATCCCAGCCGTCCTCACGGCAACCGACCATGCCACCTCATGCCTCGCACGACCTCCACGTCCACAGCTAGGTCTGCTGGGATGGGAGCATAAGATTGGAACCTTTCGTACAAAAACATTTATAAGAAGATGGTAGATGCATATGAGCAATGGACAAAGCGCCCTATAGACCGTGCCATGTCTTCCCACACCATATCGAGATGATGGTACAATGTTCCTAAAAAGAGAGGTGTAAGGGCCACTTTCACACCACTCGCCAGCTTCACCGCGAGATTTACAAGTCGCGGCTGCGGAGCATCTTCCGAAGTCCCCTCAAAAAGGTATCTTGATAGCTAACATAGTAAGTAGGCCGCGAGACCGGAAGAATGGTCAATCCAGGGACCTAAAATCCCTTTTATTCCCTCCCCTGAGAGATTTTTCTTTGTCATTGGAAAATCCCTAAAGTAGTACCGCACCAAAGCCCCGAGAGTGGCTTTGTGCGTACCCTTGCCTCGAACAGCATGACGAACACCCTGTGCGCCCCACAATGACTTGAAGTCTTTGGTTTTCTCCAAGGCTGCCTCGAGATCCTGCGCCAAAGTCTCTTCAGCTTGCACGAATACCCAAGAGCCAGGATTCTCTACCCCTTGAAATGGTAGCCCTAGCAACTAGCTCACATCCTCAATAGTGGGAGTAAACTCTTCCCATGCAGTAACGAAAGTGTGCGAGCTTGAGCTCCATTGCGAAGTAAGTTCCCATAAACCGGCAGTGTCGCGAGGAATGTGTATTTGGCAAAACAGCTTAATACACAGTGTCAAGCTCGTTGCATCCAAAATTGCCTTGTACATCGGGTTCGCAAGGATCGCGTCCGTCCATTTTTCCCAACTATGGGCAGGACTTATGTGATTATTAAAATTCACATAAGACCATGGATATTGCCCTTGCTCGACCCCAAATCGCAGAATCGTATCAGCAGGGATGCGAGGAGCTAGGCTAATTTCAACCTCCTCCTCCATCAACTCAACCACTTTAAGTGGTTCGCCGGTGACCACAGACTTGCTCGCCCGATGCCAAAAAAAGTCACTCTTTCCAAAGAATGGTGTCCACCGCCATTCCGAATCTGCTGGCACCTTTGGAGGGGGGCAATCCTTCTTGCATAACTCTTGTTTCTTACTAGCCATTGTGGCAATCCCCTCAACTGAGAGCAAAAAATGAGCAAAAGAACTTTAAATTTTCACAAGACCTCTTCGTCGGCGATGATGGAAATGAAGGCAATCACAGTAATTTCAAAGTTCTCTTTTCACAAACAACCCTTCACACCATCACTATTCCCTTTTAATAGCCTTCTCACCTCGGGAATCCCTAAAAAATCAAAGCAGGAACAGACGGCGCATTAATGACTGGAGGCGACCTTTCACGCTTGCGTCCCTTCAACCCCCTCGAAATAATAAATGACCGAGAAACCTAGTCTTGCACGCCAATAATTCATTCTGAATCGTCGCACGTGCAGGGGAGGAAAATGTGGGTGTCACTTATTAGAAGCTGATGTGGCATGTTGACAAGTCAATACAACCTTAGCCAAATCCTCCGTGGCAATTTGAAAAGTCAAAAGCCTCGAAGGATCAAAATTCGAGCACCCTAAGCCCTAGCGTCGCTCCAAGCCCATCAAGCCTCGAAAGATCAAATTTCGAGCACTCCAAGCCCTGGTATCGCTCCAGACCCATCAAGTCTCGAAAGATCAAATTTCGAGCACTCCAAGCCCTGGCATCGCTCCAGACCCATCAAGCCTGGAAAGATCAAATTTCGAGCACCCCAAGCCCTGGCATCGCTCCAGACCCATCAAGCTTCGAAAGATCAAATTTCGAGCACCCCAAGCCCTGGCATCGCTCCAGACCCATCAAGCTTCGAAAGATCAAATTTCGAGCACTCCAAGCCCTGGCATCGCTCCAGGCCCATCAAGCCTCGAAAGATCAAATTTTGAGCACTCCAAGCCCTGGCATCGCTCCACGCCCATCAAGCCTCGAAAGATCAAATTTCGAGCACTCCAAGCCCTGGCATCGCTCCACGCCCATCAAGCCTCGAAAGATCAAATTTCGAGCACTCCAAGCCCTGGCATCGCTCCAAGCCCATCAAGCCTCGAAAGATCAAATTTCGAGCACTCCAAGCCCTGGCATCGCTCCAGGCCCACCAAGCCTCGAAAGACCAAACTTCGAGCACTCTAAGCCCTGGCACTACTCCAGGCCCACCAAGCCTCGAAAGACCAAACTTCGAGCACTCTAAGCCCTGGCACTGCTCCAGGCCCACTAAGCCTCGAAAGACCAAACTTTGAGCACTCTAAGCCCTGGCACTACTCCAGGCCCACCAAGCCTCGAAAGATCAAACTTCGAGCATACAAAGCCCTGGAATAGCTCCAGGCCCAATAAGCCTCGAGAGGCCGATCCTCGAGCATCCCAAGCCCTGGCAGCACACCAGGCCCATCAAGCCTCGAGAGACCAACTCTTGAATACCTCAAATCCTGGTGTTATGCCAAACAATACTGCTTTGAAAGGCTGGAGCTCCAGAAGGCTCACCATCAAGAGATTGCGTATAGCACGGGACGAAGGTAGGATCTTTGTGCTATAGGAATCTATGTTTGGGAAACTTATGAGGATCTTGGATTGGTGGATGAGAAGTCAAGAGGTGTCTTTACTCTCGGCAAGGCCCAATTAACAAGATGATGGGATTATACATGTCATGATAGCAAATCTTAAAATCACAATTAATGCTATGTCAGGCTTGACCAACCGATGGCTAAGCAACATTTAATGCCCCTGATTAAGGAAGAAATGACATGGCAACATACAACAAGGCTCGAGGAAAGGATTAGACCCTTCAGACTCCTAAATCTCCAGGATTACTCACGTAATCCAGATTAGGGGTAATGCATGTGAGGGACCATGCATGGAAGGAACCATTGGATAATAACCAATGGAATCCAGATCTATAAATGGCATTGTCCTATGAAGGAATAACCAACCCCAGAGGAGGAAAGCTGTCTTAAGATATTGTATACTCGCCCTACCATCATTTTTATCTTGATAGTTGGTCTTCTTCTCCTCCTCCTACACTGAGCTTCTCCTCTGTTTCCTTCGCTCCAGGCCCATCAAGCCTCGAAAGACCAAACTTCAAGCACTCTAAGCCCTGGCACCGCTCCGGGCCCACCAAGCCTCGAAAGATCAAACTTCGAGCATACAAAGCCCTAGAATCGCTCCAGGCCCAATAAGCCTCGAGAAGCCGATCCTCGAGCATCCCAAGCCCTGGCACCACACCAGGCCCATCAAGCCTCGAGAGACCAACTCTCGAATACCTCGAATCTTGGTGTTATGCCAGACAATACTGCTTTGAAAGGCTAGAGCTCCAGAAGGCTCGCCATCAAGAGATTGCGTATAGCATGGGACGAAGGTAGGATCTTTGTGCTATAGGAATCTATATTTAGGAAACTTAGGAGGATCTTGGATTGGTGGATGAGAAGTCAAGAGGTGTCTTCGCTCTCGGCAAGGCCCAATTAACAAGATGATGGGATTATACATGTCATGACAGCAAACCTTAAAATCACAATTAATGCTATGTTAGGCTTGACCAACCGACAGCCAAGCAACATTTAATGCCCCTGATTAAGGGAGAAGTGACATGGAAACACACAACAAGGCTCGAGGAAAGGATTAGACCCTTCAGACTCCTAAATCTCCAGGATTAGTCACGTAATCCAGATTGGGGGTAATTCATGCGAGGGACCATGCATGGAAAGAACCATTGGATAATAACCAATGGAATCCAGATCTATAAATGGCACTGTCCTATAAAGGATTAACCAACCCCAGAGGAGGAAAGCTATCTTAAGATATTTTATACTCGCCATAACACTATCTTTATCTTGATAGTTGGTCTTTTTCTCCTCCTCCTACACTGAGCATCTCCTCTGTTTTCTTCGTATTTGTATTCCTGATATCTCTATTATATTGTTGATTTATTGTCTAGTAGAAAAGAACACCTACACAATGTAACTAAAGTTTCATATTACTCTTGTCATATATGGACCTGATACTGAATGCTGTTTGACCATGGATTTAGAAAAAGAAAAAGAAAGTGACATAAACAAAGAAACAGATAAATAAGAATATAAACAGTGATTTCTTGCACTTTCCATTGATTTTCATTATCTTGTTGCCTGTTCTCACAAATAAAAGTGTATTAGATGACATTGCAAAGGTCTCGACACTACTCCATGGGTTAATACAATATTGTCTTTCGATAAGTAAATTTGAAATAGGTTATATGTACAATGATTGAGGACTAATCCAAAATTAGATTATTAGAATGTTAACATTCTTGACTAATTTACAAAAGGGTAATATAGTAATTTGATTTTTATCCTTTTTTTTTTTTTTTTCTCTTCTCTGTTTTATCCAAACAAGAATATTATGTTTTTCTTTCTTTTTTTCTTCTATCTATCTAAATATGAATATAAATTATACCTATCCTTTTTTTTCTTTTCTTTTTTAATAATTTTTTTTCTTTTCTCTTTTCTTTTAACAATTTTTTTTCTTTTCTCTCCTCCATATTCAAAGAAGCTTTAAGCTTTGGAAAATATCTATCCAAACATGAGCATAAATTATTCTCGTTGAGTACGTCATCCCTCAAACGCCAACCGTCGATCCCAGAACCCATCAAACGGCCACTGAAGTTCATCAAGTCAACTATCATTTCTTATTACAATACGGAGCAGAGCCGTAACAGAAAATCCCACTATCGAGTGTAGTAGTGGTAGTATCAAATCATCGCAGCAGAAGCTGCCATGAACAGCTGCTTCTGTATCTATATATATTAAGGCTTTGTATTCATCCACTGAATTTGATTTTGGGGGGTTTCTGAACATTTTTATATAATCGTCATGTATATAACTGCTGCTTCATCATCATCATATGCGCTTTTGAGAGCTTCTAGGGTTCGCTTCGCGTCTTTTCTCTCTAGAACTTCTTCATTTTCGCCTTCTCTCTCTAGACCTTCACTTTCTTCTCCTCTGTCGTCGCCTTCTTTGGTTAGTTACCGTTCGATTAGCTTCTCGTCGGCGTTTCGATCCCTCCGCCATTCTGTCCCTCGCTGGAGTCACGGTGTTGACTGGCGATCGCCCCTCAGTCTTAGGGCTCAGATCCGAACCGCGTCTCCTGTGATCGAACGCTTAGAGCGAAGGATCGCGACTATGGGTATATTCGATTTCTTTTTTTTTATTTTTTTATTTTTTTATTTTTTTATTTTTTTAAAGTTTTTAGTGTGATTCCTGATAATTGCGCCTTTTTTTTTTTTTTTCTTTTTTTGGTGGTTAAGTGTCCTGTAATTCAGTTGATAAAAGGACAGTGATCATTAGTTTAGTCAATAGAACAAGTAGAGATATAAGTTTTGGTATTTGCCAAGTTTTTGGTTAATTTATGCTCTAGCGCTTTTTAGTGATAGTTGACGGGAATGAAAAAGTGATTTTGATTTGATCAATTCATGCTTCGGTTTTCTTATTCAAATTTGTTAATTATGGATTTGTGTCCTTTTGTTGTTTTGCGGGACATTTTTCAATAATCATTGGTTAGGTGATGATTCTTTTGTTGTGGGTCATTTTTTAGTAAGTTTCATTTCGGGGATGATTTTTTTGTTGTGAACTTTCTATTCATAAGTGTTTCGGGACATTAGATTGGTAGAAATTAACTTAGTGTTGTTGTTCGAGCTCGAGATTGAGTCAAGCCCAAGCACGACCTTAGCACTACTTCTTGTCCTTGAGCTCGGTTCATTTCCTTGTTTAATCATATTTAATCTTGATATCGAGTTCAAGTTTGAGATCATGATTGTTAAGGAGAAAATTAATTATAAATCCAAACAATCCCTTACAAACTAGTCATGTTCACTTCACTTGCCTTTTATCAAGCTTGTTCACGAGTCTAACAAGCCGAGCCATGTATTATTTGGGCTCAATTCATTTATCAAACGAGCTTAAAAATTGAGCTCAAGCCGAGCTTTAATCGAGCCAAGCCCAAGCAGTTTATGAACAACTCATCTTGTTTGCAACCCTAATTGAGCCTGTATTATCATTTGACTTATCTTTGTTCATCTATGGATATGGGTTTGGTTATTTTGTTCTGATTTGTTGAAAATTTTTTAAGTTATTTTATTCTGATTTGTTGAAAAAATTTTAGGGCTTGATTTTTTAGTTGTTTGCTTTGGTTATGGTTGGCATGTTTTGGTTTGCTGGTTGTAAAGTGGTCAAATATCTTGTTATGAATATGAACTTCTCTGAACTTGCGATTTTTATTGGACATCTGCAAAACAGACCACTATACCACCGGGAAGGTGACATGGTTCACGTCATGGATAATGCTAGAGGAAGGGAAGACCAAAATTGACATGACAAAGAGTTAATAAGGAAAGATGATAATATGTGATTTGATTGAGACCATGGCATTAGGTAGAGAGAAATGTAAAAATAGAATTCATGTAGTACATCCCAGTAGGAGGAAAAAAGGCTTTGTTGAGTTGAATTGAGAATTACAATTTTTTTCCTTGGTTCAAGGTTCTGTTTGTTTGGTTGTGTGGTTCTAGAATTGTGCCATAAGAGATACTATTGAAATTTGTGAAGAATTTTATAGCATGCTGGTTCACTAGTTCTCCATGAAAAATACTCATATTACCCTTTTTGTTTCGTTTTGTTTTATTATGATTTTGAAATTTGAAGTGACAACTGTTATATAATATATATGTAAAAGGAAACAAAGATAGGGAGCATGTATTGTATTTCGCATCAAGTGATAAATTTTACTTGTTTAAATTGTTATTTATACATTCATTAAGAAAATATCAATTTGTTTTAACTTCTTAGTAGTGATCTTAAATTTTTGTGTATGAATATTTGGGTTTATTTAATTCTTTTTTGAATGTAATTTGAGTTTTTATTTTTATTTTAATTATTTGTCTTAAATTTTTTGTGTATGAATATTTGGGTTTATTTAATTCTTTTTTGAATGTAATTTGAGTTTTTTTTTTTATAAATTATTTGCTCTTCAATTTTGTATGTAGTGACTAGGGAATCAGGACATTATTGTTTAAGATATGGTTATTGATCCAGTAATGAGGTTTTAGTTTTTAATTCTTTTATCAATCTTTTCAGCTTCTGAGCACACTTTCAAGGGAATATTGACTGGTCTTCCTAAGCCTGGAGGTGGTGAATTTGGAAAATTCTACAGCTTACCTGCTTTAAATGATCCAAGGGTTGGTATGTATTTTAGAAGTCATATTCTCAGCTAAAGAAATTGATTTTTTGATTTTATATTATTCTGCGGAATATGTTCCTAGTTTTTGATTGAGTTGAATGCATTGTCTATCAGTTACCTGTTGTAGATCTTTTTTTCCTTGGGCTTGTTTATATCATTTTTTTGATAAGTGGGCTTGTTGTATATCATTGCGAGACATTTATTATTATTATTATTATTATTTTCATAGGTTTTTTTTTTTTTTCTTAAGATAATGTTATATTTTGTATGTTGACTCGAGGAGTATTATCTCTCTCTATATTTTAATTTGTTGTCTGTTTAATTGTATAGACATTTATTATTATTATTATTATTATTTTATTTATTTATTTATTTATTTTTAAGATAATGTTATATTTTGTATGTTGACTCGAGGAGTATTATCTCTCTCTCTCTATATTTTAATTTGTTGTCTGTTTAATTTTATAATTTTTTGGGTCCATTGCAGACAAGTTGCCATATTCTATCAGGATACTTCTGGAATCTGCTATACGTAATTGTGACAACTTCCAAGTTACAAAAGATGATGTGGAGAAGATCATTGATTGGGAGAATACTTCACCAAAGCTAGTTGAAATTCCTTTTAAGCCTGCTCGTGTTCTATTACAGGTTAATAATGTCCGCTTGGTTATTGCTTTAATTTTATGAGAGCAATGCCATCTCTAAAGCTCCTGATTCCTCTTTAGGATTTTACTGGAGTTCCAGCTGTGGTTGACCTTGCTTGTATGCGCGATGCTATGAACACGCTTGGTAGCGACTCTAACAAGATCAATCCCTTGGTATGTCATTTTTTTCTTTATTTGCATGTCATTTTATACTTTATTTGCATGTCATTTTAATACGTGGTTGATACCATGAAGTCATTTACTCTTTTTCCCCTTTATTTTGCATGTCATTTTAATGCATGGTTGACACCAATGAATTATCCTAGCAGTTTCTGGTACTTGTAATTGATTAGTGATACACTTTCTGTCTTCACTTCCAATCTTTATGTAGGAACTTTTGTACTTGACCCAAAATCTTGAATCCTTATATATATATATATATATATATATATATATATATATATATATTTATTTATATATTCATCTGCATTTGGTATTCTTATTTGTTGAACTAGAATTCTTTAACAGTGTCACTTGTGTTCTAACACAGTTCACGATTTCTGTGGCTAACGTTCAGTATTTTATGCTTTTGGTGTTTTTATTTTGTTGAACTGAAATGATAGAGACTGATTTCTGCGGCTAGCTCCTAATAGTTTATGCATTCTGAATTGAAGTCCCACACTTTTCAGAGTTTTTATATCATGTGTTCTGAGATAGATATTGTGTCCAGGTTCCGGTGGATCTTGTCATTGATCATTCAGTTCAGGTTGACGTAGCAAGATCTGAAAATGCAGTACAGGCAAATATGGACCTTGAATTCCAGAGAAACAAAGAGAGGTTTGCTTTTCTTAAATGGGGATCGACTGCTTTTCATAATATGCTCGTTGTTCCTCCTGGTTCTGGAATCGTCCACCAGGTGAAAATTTGGCATCATTATTTCAGATAGGTTTTTTCCTTTTAAGTTTTAACATGTTATATCTAATGTTCTAAAAGGCAAATAATCATCACTAGGGGGGCGGGATTTTATCTTTTATTTTCATACAAGTGGTGCATGCTCAAAACATGAAAAATGATGTAGATAAGAGGTTTGCAGTTTTCAATTTTTTACCCTTTGTGGAGCACGACATGTTTGCCTCGAGCCTATCGTCAATTATGGTGATATTAGGAAGGCAATCTATGAAAATATGATTCCAATAAAAGGAATGAGTTATTCTCAGATGTAGTTTTTGTCTTCATTGTACATCTTTGATTCAACCCGTTTTTTATCCTTCTTTTTATTGTGATGCGTAGATTTAGCAGTAACCAAGTCACTCTGATAATTTTTCAGGTTAATCTAGAATACCTTGGGCGGGTTGTTTTCAATACTGATAGCATTCTTTACCCCGATAGCGTGGTTGGAACTGATTCTCACACAACTATGATTGATGGGTTAGGAGTTGCTGGCTGGGGAGTGGGAGGAATTGAGGCAGAGGCAGCGATGCTTGGCCAGGTATTGTTGGCTTGCAACAAATTTTTCTTTATGTTCCTTGAGTTAAATATAGGTTAGCTGTACTTTGTCCAAATTAACAGGCTAATGAAATGTCAAAAATGTTGTTAACCTTGTCTTTACATTGGAACAAGTTGAATACATGAATGGTAGCCTTCTCACAAGTGGCTGGCTTAATAATAAATTTGTGAAGAAAAAGTTTCATGTGTTGGCATATCCATGAGGTCTATATTTGGTGTCACAGTGTCACTTCAGTGGAAGGTTTGCATCAATGTTGATGTTATGATAGAAGATTGAAGACGCTGGTCAATATTGAAGATGGGATGGTAGATTGAAGACTGAGCCAAAGGATCACATCGATATCTTATTACAACCTTCATCAATCACACAATATAAAAAAAAAAGTGACATAAGAGATCAGAGGATATGGACCTACTCTTCTCCTAGGGAGACATTTGGACACGCTTAGGACAAAGTTTGAACACGTGTTCGGCATATTTGGAAGTGTCTTAAAATTTGAAGTGTCAAGGCGGCACCCCTAGGAGAAGTGTCACTTCAGTGGAAGTTTTGCATCAATGTTGATGTTATGATAGTAGATTGAAGACACTCGTCAATATTGAAGCTGTGATTGTAGATTGAAGACTGCGCATGATAGCTTTGGACCAACACTTCTCCTAGGGGTGCCTTTGCGGTATCAGACATTCGGACACACGTAGGACAGAGTTCGAACACGTGTTCGACATATTTGGAAGTGTCATAAAAATTGAATATTGTTTTTCCTTGGTTGGACATGGCTAGGACATGTCATGCACCCGACAATGACATGTTTGGGACACTTTCAGGACATAGTCGTGTAGTTCTGTAATTATTTTGTTTAGAAGGTGAATCCAAAGCTATTTTAAAATATATTATGGGTTGATTAGAAAATTAATATAAAGTACTAGAAAATAAAAACAACATATGCCTAACTCTAAGCTCAAAATTGATCAAGATCGAGATTGATCAATCGAATTTAATCCGGAATATCTCGATTGAAATCTAGATTGATCAAGGAAAACCCAGAAGTTGTTGAACGATCAATTGAATTGATTCCTAGAGTCGGTGGAAGACGTTTTTTTAAGTTTGAAAAGGTTTTCAACTTTTCGAAGTCTCCAAAACTTGTCTAAGCATTTCTAACCAAATTTTAGTCACTCCAACACTATAAACATAAGAATAACATGAGACACAATTACACAATTGTGTGAGAGATTGACAGCTTTATTTTTCAATCAGAAGCGAGGTTCCTTGTAGAATATCTTATATTATTGTGTGATTGTGTTCTAAATCAATGAGCTTCACTGAATACTTGAAGATTGGTCAACCACAATACCTACACATCCAAGAATTGGATGAGTAGTAACTGGAGATCACATGATTAGGTGGAGAAGTGGATTACGCTAGAAGCGGATTGTTGACGAGCGGACTCTCTGCCTGGAGACTCAAGTGGAGAGTTTGATGATCAGTCCATGTCAAGAGGTAATTAGGAGTTTTAGGGTTTGAGAACTGATAACCTGTTGAAAACTTCTTTCTATTACCGGATTTGCTTTGCTTGGACTAAGTCGTCGTTTTTTCTGTTTCGGATTTTCACGTAGAAATCGTTTGTTCATGTGTGGTTTCATGGTTTATTTTTTTGTACTCTGTATTTAACTGGTTTTAATTGTTGAGTTTTAAATATAATTAAACAAATTTAAAAATCAGTCAATTATTAGTTAAATTTGAAGATTTGTTTTGGGCCTAGCACTAACTCTAGTTAGAACCGTGGTTAACTGTCCTATGATTTATCAAAATGCATTAATATGTATCTTTTTATTGCATAAAACATATATTTGTTTAATAAATTAAAGAGCGCTCAAAACAAAAAGGGCCAAGAGGACCTGCTATGCTGACAATCCACAAAATTTACTATATCTCCTACAGATTTACAATTTACTCCATATACCCAAAATAATAAAGAACTAATCAGCACCCAAATCAGAATGTCCTTCCCATCAAAATACTGCCTATTCCGCTCCGTCCTCAAGCCCCATCATATACAAAGGGGCGCCACCCTCCAAGCAGCACGGGCTTGCCTCCTCACTGTGCAGCCACCCAAGCCTCAAGCAAGCACTTTGAGGTCTCCGACATAACCCACTGAACACCAAAGAAAGCGAAAATAATGGTCAAGCTATTTCTCACCACTGGACAATGCAAGAGTGAACGACTCACTGACTTATCTCTGTTAGAGGATTTTACTATTAAAGTTACACCCTATCTAACAACTTAGCCAACTTAAGCTCTTAGAGTAGATGGTGGTTAACATGATATCAAAGCATGCAAGGTCCTGAATTCAAACCTCATCCTCATGCTGGTAATTAATGTTGAAACACGTGCTGGACCAAAAAAAAAGGCCATATGCGGGGGCTGTTAGAGGATTAAATATTAAGCTACACCCTGTCTAACATCTTTACCTTTTAGAGTAGATGGTGGTTAACAACATCCATGCACATTCAACACCAATTGACGATATTCTGGCATCTCCTCCTAAGATTATCAATTGTCAAAATCCTCTTCAGCACCGTTGTCCACCCAAAAAATGGCCACCTTAAGAGGTGCCCTAGTATGCCGATTTTCCTTACTTTTTGGATACATGAGACTACAGTCTCAAGTTTTTAATCTTCAGTCCATTTCAATTTTTTGTTTGCTTTCTGATCTAGGATTCAGGACACGGGTACAACACGAACATGGCTATATACAAATATGAAATCTTATTTATATACATCTATTAAGAGTATTAGACAACTTTAATTCATTTCTAATTTCTATACCATGAGTTGCTCTTACATGATTTAGAAAATGAGGTTATGCCATTATTGTAATGATTTTTATGTCGTATATATACCATTATTCCAATACTTTGTCATTGTAATGTTTTTTGTTTTGAACGAGCAAGTATCATTTTATGCTTCACTTGTGATCAAATATGTAATGCCAAATTTTCTTAAGAAAATAGTTAAAACACTTTAGAATGTGGTGATATTATTTTCAAGATTACCGGACATGACTACTCTACCTGTGTTTGTGTACATAAGACTTGTGTTGGAAATGTGGGAAAGTGTCGGCCAAGTGTCTGGGAAGTGTCGGCTAGGAGTCCATAATAATAAAATTTAATTTTTAATTATGGACACGTACATGAGGTATCAGACATGTGTCCAAGGAGTGTCCATAGAGTGTTGGTGTCCAACACGGATACGGCTCCTTCGTAGAAGTGTCCATGCTTTCTAGATGCATGTTTAAAGGGGAAAAAAGGTGAAAAAGCTAACTTAGGCTCCTTACATGCAGTAGCATTATGCCACTCTTCATAGGTGACTTAGTAGTAGTACCGTTTTACATAATTCATTCTGATTTCTTGATATGTATAATGCAAAGATATTCTTATATTATATTGGATCAGTTCATCACTTTAGGTTCAGTTTGTTGGAACACAGTTATGTGCTCAAGCCTATGCTCACTCCTGTAGTTATTTCTTGATCTTACTGTTATGTAGACAGAAATGCATTTAGCCATAGCTCTGCTTTTTGAATTTATTTATTTATTTTCTCTCTAATGTTCTTTTGCGATTTGACAGCCCATGAGCATGGTTTTGCCTGGTGTCGTTGGATTCAAATTGTCTGGGAGATTGTGCAATGGTGTCACAGCAACTGATTTGGTTTTGACTGTAACGCAAATGTTGAGGAAACATGGTGTTGTTGGCAAGTTTGTTGAGTTCTATGGTAATTTCAGTCTTCTATGTAACTCTGGCTGACAATTATTTTCTATCTCCACCTATCTGTTTCTTTGATGCATATGGCGTCACTTTGTTTGTAATACATATAGGTGATGGTATGGGGGAATTATCATTGGCTGATAGGGCCACTATTGCAAATATGTCACCGGAATATGGAGCTACCATGGGTTTCTTCCCTGTAGACCATGTCACATTACAGTACCTCAAATTAACTGGAAGAAGTGATGCGACGGTAAGATTTCCTTTTTCTTTTCTTTTTTACGTTCTTTTTATTATTATTTTTGTGTGCGGTATTCTGAATTGGATTTTTTATACTATCTTGTTACATTACTTATATAATCATCAGGTGGAAATGATTGAAGCTTATTTACGTGCAAACAGATTGTTTGTTGACTATAGTGAGGTATAACATTTTTCCTGTCCTTATAAAAAAATAAAAAAACATTTTTCCTGTCCTTTTCTGTACTTCCCTATATGTAATTATTTCAAGTTGGCATCTTCAGATGTGAGGTTAATGGGATTTTTTTTGTGTTCCAGCCTCAACTAGAAAGAGTATACTCATCTTATCTGCAGTTGGACCTAGCCAATGTTGTACCTTGTATTTCAGGACCGAAACGGTAAGCTCTGTTCTTAATTTCTGCACCTTATTCTTTGTAATTTTTCCTCTTGGTATATTCTCTAATTCTTCTTCCTTTTTTTTCCCCCCCTCCTTTTTTGCTTTTATCTTAACAGACCTCATGACCGAGTTCCTTTGAAAGACATGAAAGCTGATTGGCATTCATGTCTTGATAGCAAAGTTGGATTCAAGGTGAGTTACAATGAGCGGTTGCTATAGATTTATGATGATGTTAGGTTTTCTGGATTGAAATTTCGCTATTTAAACATCTGTTCACGTCAGTTGCTGCTTTTCTTTACCTGCAAAATGTTAGCATAGTGTTTTGTTTTTCTGATGCAAACTTGGCGCTTTATATGTGTTATTTTTCCCTGTTTGTATGACTGGTCCTATAAGTGATATGGCAATAAATGCGCTTCTAACTGGATTGCAATATGTGGAGAGGGCTATATAAATCTCAATCATGGTTGAGCTGTTATGTCAAGACCATTAGCTATGTTATTTAGTTTTTTAATATTTCAAATTCATGCAGGGCTTTGCTGTACCAAAGGAGGCACAGGATAAAATTGCAAAGTTTTCTTTCCATGGTCAGCCTGCAGAGATCAAGCATGGTAGCGTTGTGATAGCAGCTATCACTAGTTGCACAAACACTTCAAACCCTAGTGTCATGCTTGGTGCTGCTCTTGTTGCAAAGAAAGCATGTGACCTTGGTTTGGAGGTTAGTATTAGCTTCTCTAAATGTCCTGGGTTAACTTTTCTCTACGGATGCCAATGTTATTTATGTATAATGACTTGCTTTTGGCGAAACAGATAATTGCTACTTGACCTTACCTCCAAATGACTTACCAAAAAAAAAAAAAAAACCCTTACCTCCAAGTGAGAACTCAATTATTGGATCTTACTTTTCTAACAAGTATCTTACACGAATATTCAACAGGTCAAGCCATGGGTAAAAACAAGCCTTGCCCCTGGTTCTGGAGTTGTTACTAAATATTTGCTCCAGAGGTACTTGTTATAATTATTGGAAGATATTTTTAAAATGTTTAGTTTTCTTCTTTTGTTATTATCCACAGTTGATTTCAGTAATGAATAATGTGTCTGCCTTTGGTGTCTGTAGTGGTCTTCAAAAATATTTGAACCAGCAAGGCTTTCACATTGTTGGCTATGGCTGCACAACGTGTATAGGAAATTCCGGGGACCTTGATGAATCTGTTGCTTCTGCAATTACAGACAATGGTATACTATTTGACATTTATGCTTCATATATGTTCTAAATTACAAGAGTGACATAATTGTATGCTTGACTATGCCTCCTACTGTTTATAGTGCAATCAGCTCTGAAAGAAAAGAAATAAATCTTAAGAAGAGAAAACAGAGAGCTAATTCAAGCTAGAAAAATAGCTTAAACACCAACAACTCAATCCCAAAGAAAAGGGAGAGGTAAAAGGCTGCTACAGCAGACTGAAAATATTGTTAATACTTCAAAAACCTGCTGATTACAACTTGGAACGGCCCTTTCATTACACAAGGGATGCCCTAGCAAATATATAATCCTAGCCCTTCAAATAAATGTAATCTAAAGGCTAGTATCCTGTCCAGCAGAATAAAGAGATAAAAAATGACAAAAGAATCCTTAAGTAGTCGCATGACTCACTTAAAAGGCACATGGCTTATAAAATAAAACTAGAATGACAATAATAGCCTAAACATGAAATAAAAACATATTTAAAACTTAGATAAATGACTCAAGTCCCATAAATAAACACACAATCTGATCACACCATCAGCTGCATCTGTTAATGGAAACTAGTCTAGTCTTCTAAGGATCTTCAACTGTTTGAAGAAAGCACTCTTCCATTTGCACTGCATCAGCTTCGCTTCTGAATTATTTGGACTGGAGAAGTTAAGGGCATGTTCAGAGCAAAAACTTTGCAGCTTTTGAATAATTGGAAAAAAAATTTAAATTTTAGGGGGGAGATCTTAATTAGCTGAATATTGCATCTGTTCATAATAATACCATAAAATATATATTGAAGTAAACAAAAAATTAAGTTTAAACCTCTTTGAGGCATCACTATTGTTTTCCTAGCCAAAGTGATGCCGATAGTAATAATTTTCTCAAATTCTTGGCCTCATGGTATGGGTTGCATAAATGTATTCTTTTTAGCCATCCTGTAGTGATGCTCATGAGGGGGCTTTATCATATTGTTGAATGGCAGAGCATTGTATTTACAACTTCGGCCCTTCGGGCATCTTCATTCTGGTCATAACTCTGTTGCTTTCAATTTAAATCACAAGTGTTTTTATGGTGTAATCAGTGGCTAATTTCTTAATCCTGGGAAATATCTTCTCATCTTGTCCTTAATTTGTATTGTGTTCTGATTTCTCACAAGTGAATCCAATTTGAATATTATTTTCTCCATTATACATTTCCACGGTAACTTATTAAAAAAATATATATACATTTCCACGCTAGCTACACTCTCGATGAGCTGTCTTGGCGTCCTTATAATTCGTACTTTGAATAGTGGTCCGTCTTCAAACTTTTTGATCAAAATTTCTTTCTAGGTCTTTATCAAAGTTTTTTTTTTACTTCACCATGCTGTTGCATTTCTTTTCATGCTTCCTTGTCCAATGGATGTGGATGCGAAGATATATTGTCTTGAAATGTAAAAAGTAAAAGTCAAATAGCAATTATATTCATAGTACAGTTTACTGTATTCAAATATTTGAATATTTCTTAAGGCTGTTAGATTTGGGGTAGACTTAAATTTCATTAAAGATGACGTTTCTCTGAGGTATGTTTTTGAAATTTGAAACAATGCATCGGTGCACAACAAAAACATATTTACACAGAAACCGTAAATGTACCATATATTCTTGGAATAATGTAAATATAAGATATTTGGAGTGTTGTGTGACCGCTCAGATATTCTGGTTGGTTGGACAAATTTAGTCCTACCAAATCAAACTGTGGAAACTGTTGGAGTTGTTGTAACTCACTATGCCTTAAAAGTTTCAACTTGTCTTGCAACTTTTTTTCCTCTGGATAAATTACTTGTCTTTGAATTTGCCAGTACTTATAATATTCTTCTATGTGATTTCTCTCTCTCTCTCTCTCTCTCTCTCTCTCTCTCTCTCTCTCTCATGCATTTGTGGTATTTCCTACAGATATTGTTGCTGCTGCTGTGCTTTCTGGAAATAGAAACTTTGAGGGCCGTGTGCATCCGCTGACAAGAGCTAACTATCTTGCTTCTCCACCACTAGTTGTAGCCTATGCACTTGCTGGCACGGTATGTCTGTAAAATCTTAATGGAGATTCCTTATGCATCTTTCTTATTTGAGTGTTCCTGATGTAAATAGTGATGATCATTTTGTGAATTGAAAGGAAAATTTCAGAATGGAAAATTAAGAACTGATTTTGCAGTATAAAGATAAAGAAGGGCCTTTGTTAAAATGGTCAAGTGGTGAATTCCACCTGTGGCTGATTTTACTTGTCAATCAATTGGGGTTACTTCTCAGATAACATTTTGTTTAATAAGTTGACTATGCCGATTTACTACTTTTTTTCTCCTTCTAGACAAGGAGATGGGTTTTGTTGATACCCTTTTTTCTTACGTTCAGATCTAAGGGAACATTTTCTGCTATTTTTAGCTATTTGAGTGCCCAGGAGTTGGTTGTGGAATGGAGCACATCCATTGTTCTTTGAAGTTTCACGTGGACATCTCTAAGCAGTCCTACCATTGCTTATGGACCATTATGCATTTTTAAGACTATTAATATAAAAAAGAGAAAGGAAAAGAAATAACTATTATGATGATACATGTAACTCATGCTTCGCTGTCACTCATTAAATCCTCTCAAATTTTCATTTCAGGTTAACATAGACTTTGACAAGGAGCCAATTGGAACTGGAAAGGATGGTAAAAGTGTATACTTCAGGGATATCTGGCCCAGTACTGAAGAAATTGCAGAGGTAGATGTTTCTGTTTCTGAATCACTCTTTATGTAATTACTTTCAAGTCATGAATATTTGATTAGCAGTCCCTAATTGATTTAAAATATACGATGTATTAGGTGGTTCAATCAAGTGTACTGCCTGATATGTTCAAGAGCACTTATGAAGCTATCACGAAAGGCAATGCAATGTGGAATCAGCTATCAGTTCCCACAGGCACTCTTTATTCTTGGGACCCAAACTCGACTTACATACATGACCCCCCGTACTTCAAGGGTATGACCATGGACCCACCAGGTCCTCATGGAGTGAAGGATGCCTACTGTTTGCTCAACTTCGGTGACAGTATTACCACAGACCATATTTCTCCAGCAGGAAGTATACACAAGGACAGCCCTGCTGCCAGGTACCTCCTTGAGCGTGGGGTTGATCGCAAGGACTTCAATTCTTATGGTAGTCGTCGCGGTAATGATGAGGTGATGGCAAGGGGCACCTTTGCTAATATTCGTATTGTCAACAAGCTCTTGAAAGGAGAAGTTGGCCCAAAGACTGTTCACATTCCAACTGGAGAGAAGCTTTATGTGTTTGATGCAGCAATGGTGAGTTTCGTAATATCAACTCTTTCCACTTGTTTCCCTTCTGTGTGAAATTTGATAGTTATACCCATATTTAGTAATGTGATACATCATGTACAAATTGTTTCCTAATTTCTAGTTGATACTACTTGCTGGTTTACATATAAGTAGGAAAATATTCAAGCCTGGATTATGTCAGTTATTTGAAAATTGAAAGTTGCAAAGACTTCAAAAAAAAATTTTCTTCGGTATTCTTGGAAAATGGATCTTTAGTAATTGATGAATACCAAGAATCTTCCTTATGCTGTGTTTGGCGATATGGAATTGGAGCCTTGGAATTGGAATCGGTGGAATTGGAGAAAATTTTGGTTCAATTTTCTGAGTTGCTTCCACCAAAATTCCAATTCCAATTCCATGCCAGCCAAACATAGCCTTAATGTAATTGAACTGGAACTAAGTATTAGCTTGTGATGTCTCATCTGTTATCTGTTAAGGCAGTGAAATGTGGCAATTGGAATCTTTTACTAACAAGTTGTTTCAGACTGATAGTCGCAAGTTTGAAATATTTTCTTCTGGAGTTCCATCTGTTTGTATCATTTTTCTTTTTTCAAACATGAAATTCATTCAAGTAGGGAAGTAGTCTGTTATTTGTAGAATGTGCAAACAGTAGTATGGCTCAGTCAAGTATCTTTTTTGGTCGAAGGAATTAAAATTTTACCAGTGGATACCATTGAGTGGATATTAGATAATTATACTCGCCCTTTTATGAATGAGAGAGATACTAGGACATGCCCCAGTACCTGAGAGGAAGCTTTACTCATGGAAGCCAAGAGTACGTATGATATTTTGTTTGATCCCAGATCCCATAACTGGTGTCCAAATTTTTGCTATTTGGATCTCTCTCTCTCTCTCTCTCTCTCTCTCTCTCTCAGGGTGGAGGGGTGGTGACCTGTCGTGATTGATAATTGACATGTAGTGATGAATAGCGATCGATGCATTATAGGTTACTTCATTATCGTGTAATGAACCTAATGTCATATCTTTTGCAGAGGTACAAGGCTGATGGACACGACACCATTGTTCTGGCTGGAGCGGAATATGGAAGTGGCAGTTCTCGAGACTGGGCTGCTAAGGGGCCAATGCTACAGGTGAGTATTGATGTTTGTTTCTCAGCAATGTGTGAACTGTTGGTTTTTGTGTGGCGTTCTTGTCTCTTTTTCTAACACAATCTTGATCAGGGAGTAAAAGCAGTGATTGCCAAGAGCTTTGAGAGAATTCATCGCAGTAATCTGGTCGGAATGGGCATTATTCCTCTGTGTTTCAAATCTGGTGAGGATGCAGATACACTAGGCTTGACCGGTCATGAGCGTTACACTATAGATCTTCCAAGCAAAGTCAGTGAGATAAGGCCTGGCCAAGATGTGACTGTGACAACAGACACCGGCAAGTCTTTCACATGCACAGCCCGCTTTGACACAGAGGTACATTTTACATACTTGTTAGTATTATTGGTCTTTGTGTGAATGCATCTCTTCTTCTGATTCCTTGCTTGGGTGCCCATTAGTGCGATAACGCTAAGATAATTTAGATTATTCATTCAAGGATAATGATCATTTATAATTGGTAATGATTGGAATGCTTGTTCGGGTTAACTCTGGCTAAAACCTTTAGTCATGCTTGATGCCCATCTATTTTATATTTTGATTATATTCATTTGATTCCAATGTTCTGATTTCATTTGCAGGTTGAGTTGGCATATTTTGATCATGGTGGCATCCTTCCGTATGTCATCCGGAATCTGAGTAAACAGTAAATGTTTCGAGTTTTTGGACCTACAGTCTCTTCTCTTCTCCTCTGGCGAGCTTCCTCTATTGCGGGTATTTTAGACAGAGAGAGACACGGCGGTATGTAAATCGTGTTCCATCGTAGAACACTACTATGCTATAATTCTTGCCCTTCACTATTTCACTTTGCAAGGTTTTTCAATAAAAAAGAAAGGGGGGAAAATATGCTTTTGTTTTTTGTTTTTTTCACTCCCTTTCGCAAGCCTAGATGACCTTTTCCCTTGTTCAGAATTGGAAAAACTGATAATATAGGCAAGCAACCCTTGATGGGTGTGTAGACGTGCCAGTTAACTGCGTCCTTCCGAGTACCACTATTTTTTAGTATTTTATGTGTTTCATTTATTTGGGCCAAAAACAAAAACTCTTCGGAACCATCTCAATTTTGCAAATAATTCCTTGTCATATATGATAAATATTGCTCTTTCAACTTTCAAAGCTGCGTAATGTTTAAGCAATTGCCATGCAATTGCGTGCATATTTGTAGAGTTTTCAAACCATACGAGCGTGATCTGCCAGTCCAACTGCTTATTGGTCTACTAGAAGAGTAGAATCTTAATCAAATAAGAAGTTTATGTCACGTGAGATTGGATTTCCATTATTCAGCAATGACAATTTTATGTAGGGGTGGCAAATGGGCAGATTTAGTCGGTTGTGATTCATAGTCAAACGGGATCAATTTGTCATGAACTGCCAACTCGTTTTAGAAAGAAAAGAAAAAAAATGTTATTATTTTAAATAATTTCATTATTATATATTTTTATTTTTGATGGATAAAAGTTTGTAAAAAGTATGTATGGATAATTATAAATTTTTTATATTTTTTTAAAATTTATATTATTTTATTTTATGATTAGACATCCATGAAGATTATATATATATATATATATAGAGAGAGAGAGAGAGAGAGAGAGAGAGAGAGAGGATTGTTCACTTGAATTTTAATTGTTAGATATAAAAGAATAAACTACCTTTTTAATTGCCATATGAAATCTAACGGTTAATACTTGAGATGTGTATACAATTTTTTACACACGCAATAAGTGAACAATTTTATATATATATATATATATATATATATATATATGTTATATTATATGAAATCATCTCTCAAGTTTTTTATAGAATAAATAATTAAATGAATAAATTAGGTCAACATTGGTTTGTTTCGAGTCGTAGTATACACAAATACATTGTATATATGTTGTGGATGTAGAAGATCGCAATACTATAGTTATTGCAAAGAATTTTAGAGAGAGAAAGATGATGATGCAAGAGATTCTTATCATTTGTCTATGAATAAATTTAAAAGGTTTAATGTAAACAATTTTTCTGAGGTATGTTAGTTCATTATTTGTGATTTTATTATTTGTTTTGTGAAATCTTGTTATGAGCCTTTAAATGGAGGCTTAGAGCGTGAATGTTTTTTTTGACCATAACCTGGATCCTCCTCGTACATATTTGTATGCTATATGTCGAACAAGGATGCAAAAAGTGTATAATGGTAGTTTTTATTGTTGTATCCCGATGTAACATGTATATATGTTAAACATGAGTTACGAAATTAAAGAACTCAAAAAACTTACTCTAGCTTAATATACATATATTATTTTCGTCCCAAAAAAAGTGTCAACATTTCTGGAATTGTGACAGTTTAATTTGTGAGAGTCATGGTTTCCTAAAACTGACACTTTTTATGAGATCGGAGGGAATACTTTTTTTCAAAAATTTAAGATGTAATAACCGTGCGAAGCGCCGAATCCCAGCCTGGTGCTTTTGCCTGCCGCCACTCCTACATACTTTTTTAAAAAAAAAACCCTAATTTTTTTCTACCAAATTAACATCACATTTTTTCCTACGCGCTTTATTCCTTCTTCAGAACTCACGTTTGTCGATCTCTTGATAGGTTTCGCTTCTTTCTATTCGGCGGCATGCGTCTCTCTCTGTCGTTCAAGATGGCGGCAAACCCAAGCCACCAACTATATTGGATAGATGTAGATTTTGTGGACCCTGATACTTTCCAATGGTCCTTCTCACCTGATACTCTTCCCTTGATAGCATACGCGCATAACTATACATATGACGATGATTGGGTGGAATTAGAAAATCCCACTGAGATCACACAATTGCTCGTTGTGCCGTTCTATATGCTACAGTCTAATGATGATGAGCCTGCATTCTTATTCTCCTCCACGGCCCTCGCTCAGATGGGAGTCACGGTAGATGGCCCTCTCTTCGATCAGCTCCTCTATAATTGTCGTCACATGAACGATGTAAGAACTAATATTATCAACAATAGTTTTTCTTGACGTACAAGTTCGAAGATGGCCATCCAATTACAATATATTTGGAATTACCGATGATGATGATGCAATAGCTCGAGCTATGGAGGAGTCATTAGAGGAGGCGTTGCAGATGGTATCGGCAAGTCCATTTTCTCTCCACACGTTGGAGAAGGTGAAGTTTGGTGGTTCTTGTTCATCAGTATTTAGTTTGTTTGGAGGCGCTTATGGTGGATGAGGTGATCATTTGTATGCCGTGGTCTCACCTCTACCATGAAGACTGCATCACTAAGTGGCTGAAGACAAGTCATGTTAGGATTTATATGCCCTAACATAGCAAATTCCTATTTGGATTAAAGTGACATAAGTTCTTGACGTTTCTGAAATATATATGTTTTATACAATTGTTGAATTCAATGTATTATGTTTCGATTCATTATAGAATTGATAGTGTCCACTTGATTACAAGAGATATTTATATATGTATGTGATGGCGATCAATACATGAATATAAATAATAATCATAAATGGTTCATAGTCGGTAATTATGGATGGACTCATAATTGATTAAGACTTGAATTAGATCCGCGTTAGGTTGAGATATATTGCGAGAGCCGTCGTATGCAATTGTTTCCTATCACCGTCATAGCATTTGACTCTTAAGTATGAAAAAATTATAAACTCTTTTATTAATTAATAATTACTTTGATTTGTTCGGCGGATTCTTCGGGATCCTTAGACCGACACTTTGGGTAATTATGTAATTAATAGTTTGAGGGTTATATTTTCAATATTTGCATCATTGCTACTTATATTTATTTTATATTGATTATGGTTGATCACAAAGTAAATTCGAAGGCCTTCGTATGTTTTTAAACAAAATGATTTATTATATATTTATTTATTTAAATTATTATTTTTGTCAAACAAATATTTTATTGTGATCGAGCCAGAAATAATCAATGGTACCAAAATAAATATATTAATTAAGTAGTCGGATTGATGGCTTTATTTATCCGATAACTAATTATGCATAGAGGGGTCAAAGTGCAATATTGACTTAGTGGTTATTTATTATTTAATTAGAGTTCAATTAATTTCTTTTAGTGGAGTAGAAATTAATTTATGAATTAATTGAATTAGGTCCATGGACCGGGCCAATTATTAATTCATTGTAGCCAATAAAATAATAGGCCCAATGGATTCTCACTCATAGCCCAACTTGATATTGGAATCATATTAGATTTAAGACATGTGAATTAGAGATTGAGAAGGATTTGTTGTTTCCTTTTCTTTACCTTTATATTGCCTATAAATATACATGGTCTATGAATATTTTAGGAGTGATTTTTGGAAGAAGGAAAAAAGAATAAATTTTCTCTCTCTAGAAAATTAGGGTTAGTGTTCTCATCTAATGGAGGCTCCCACAAGCCTAGTTTTCCAAGGTCATTCATGGAGGCTTATGAGTGATTCCTAAAGGCAAGACCATTACCAAAAAGATGGAGATCCATGGAAAAGGTGTCTAGTAAAAGGGATCTACAATAAGTGAGAACATTCACTTTAGAGGAGAGATCTAAGGTTTACTCAAACCTTGATGTAAGTATTCAATCTTTTAATTGAATGATACATCATGTTTTATTTCTACATAAAACTTGTCTCTATGTGATGAATCAAGATTTATGAATTTAAATCTCTCGAAAAGTTTTTAAATATTGCATGTTTCCCAACAACCAGCAAGTCCATCTTCTCTCCACACGTTGGAGAAGGTGAAGTTTGATGGTTCTTGTTCATCAGTATTTAGTTTGTTTGGAGACGCTTATGGTGGATGAGGTGATCATTTGTATGCCGTGCTCTCACCTCTACCATGAAGACTGCATCACTATGTGGCTGAAGACAAGTCATGTTTGCCCATTGTGCCGGTTTGAGATGGCTACTGAATCAGAGTAGTATTGTTAATTCAATGTTCATTGTTTATTAGTCTTATTCGTGTGTAATGAAGGTTCTATGGTTGTGATTGTCTTGTAAGGCTCTTCTATTCTATGTATTTTGTATACAGAAGGGTTTACTTTCCCATGGCACTCGGTTGTCTGGTTTTCAAAACATATTCCGCGATATTCTTTCATTAAGCTCAACAAGGGACATTCCTGTTCTTGCAAAGAAAATTGCCCCCAATTATTGCTCGTTGTGTCTTGCTGCAGCCGCGACTCATCATATCTCTTCTTCAAATGTAAGTTCGCTACTGAGATTTGGATGTTTTTCCAACACCTCTGTGGTATCTATGTTGGAGACAACAACTTATTTGAGATCACTAATTAGATTGTGTCAATGTGGACGGATGGTACCAAGGCTCCAGAGGCGTATGTTTTCAAATTATGCCTTACAACTTCAGTATACTTCATCTGGAATGAGAGGAATAGGCGGCATGCCTTGAACCAAATGGCTTCCACTACTACAGTCACTAAACTGATTTACAGTAGTGTGAGGAATCGCCTTATGTCTTACAAGTTGAAGGATTCGAGGTTTGCGAGGTTTATTGCTGCTGCGTGGAGTTTGCCTTTCTCGGTGTTTCATGGTGATCTTTGAGGGTTTGCCTGTGTTGCCTTTGCATCTGGTTATGGTTGTTCCCTGTTGCTGTTGCAACGTTTTTCTTTTGTCCCTGGGCTGGGCTATTTGTAGCTTTCCTGGGCTGTTGCCTTTGGGCCGTGGTCTTTTGCCCTTCTTTGTATAGTTTCTCCTTTCCTTTTTTTAATGAATTGATTTACCAAAAAAAAAAAAAAAAAAGGTTTACTTTGTATATATATATATATGGAAGGTTCTATGTTCAGTTATGTTGTTAGACTATACATATTGGGGTTGAAAGTGGATAAATATCAGTCCACGTAATGGAGAAATCTTTGTTCATTTGTTTTGATCCTCCATGTTTCTCAAGGGCTGCTTTATGGGTGGGGGTCCTACTTTCATATGATGTGTACTTTGATGCTTTATTAAAATAATAATAAAAAGCCAAGACATATATATGTATATAAGTATATAAAGTACACGTACACTTAGAGAAAGTCAGGTCCACAAGAGTCATTTGTCTTACATTGGATCCGAATGAGAAGTGATTGAGTATAAATGGGTGGTGGGTATGCAATATTACTCAACAATTTCAGATTTTAGATAAATAGGTAAGCGCTCTTCCTTTACCGTTGGTATCAAAATCAGACTCAATTATTGATTCAGTGTCATGCCAAACGCTTGGCCTGGAAGCGTCCAGATTTACAGCTCGGGTAGGCAGGGTGGCTCGACCCGTAACGAGGGCGTTGCGAGTTTGGATGAGAAATAATGTAACAAGGATCATTTGTCCCACATCGAATTCGGATAGAAAAGTAATTGAGTATAAATAAATGGGATATGCAGTATTACCGAACAACTTGAAAGTAATTGGATATAAATAAGTGGAGTTAAGTAAAATTTGAAGAGATAAATTTAAGTACGAAAGACAGTTACCTTCATCGAAGCTCGAACCCCTAACCTCCATTTAAAAAGTAAAAACTTGGTACCGCTAAGCCATTAACCCGTTGGTACATTCAGTGATACTTGATCTCACCATTACTTAAAACTTCCACCATATTTTAAATCGCGCTTATTATTTTTAATTTTCAGTGCACACTTAATTTGATAAATACTTAATCCATTCATAATTAAGTGTGCCAGTGTGCCGGGTTACCGATCAATTACATGGTCGCCCTCATCATATAGATAAGTTCATACAGTTCTTCAACATTTAGCCAAGGTTGCTGCAAACCGCACAAACAAGCAGGAAAAGAGTTCTCATCCGACGTTGATCGATTTGCAAATTGTAGTACAACATAAAATGGGCAACCCAAACCACTAAAAAAAAAAGCGAAAAATATATGTTACATTTCTATGATATACAACACAAACAGAAGAGACACATTGTTCCATGACTAGTTTCGATTGTGTAGGGATTTGCCGACTTGTGAGGCAAGAGCTATTGCTTTTGCTCTTGTACTCGCCGTTACCCATTCCTTCTCTGCACGACGCTGGTGTTGCCTCGCATTCTTTGCTCGTTTTGGTGCTAACCGTGTATCTCTCTCCACAAACGCCAGTCTAAATTTTTCAGCCATCGGTAATTCACTAGAGTTTGAAGCAGATGTAGAGGTGACCTTAGCTGTAAACCCAGAAACTGCCCATGTTTTTGGATCAACATCCTCGACAAAAGGAGCATCAAGTGCTGCATTTGGTAGTGCTCCCCTTGGAACTTCAATCCCCCTATACCCAAACGGTGACAGCTTGGGGTTTACAATAATGCGCGGGCATTCAGTTGACAAAGTCTCCAATGAATCCTTGTCGATCTTTGGCTGCACAAAAGGAAAACAGGGGAATTTAAGAACGGAAAACAGGAAGATGGCAACGAGAGGGCAATACACCCTCACTATTCATAGAGCCAACGACCTCAAGGTAATGGAGACGCATGAAAACAGGAGTTGCACTCATAACCAGGCAAATAAATGAATCTGAATGAAGGTATATACATTACCCATGAAAACAAGAGTTGCACTCATAACCACGCAAATAAAAGAATCTCAATGAAAGTATATACATTACCCATAGAAGCCAGCGCAGTGACTCTGCACCATGAGCAATCTCTGAGGTATCAAGTTCCTCCCAAGACTCTCCCTCTACATCATTTAATTTTGGTTTAAAGATACCCAGGCATCTGCGTGCGGTGGAGTCACTCCTCGGGCACCCTCTGCAACATTAACTTTGGTTCATAGCCTGTTATGAGGTTTATACCCCTTGTCAAAACACAATATCCTGGGCTACTCCCGTCACTCAGGATGTAAATAAAAGCTAAAGAGATAAATTGGAAGTTCCATGATTTAGCATTGCATACTAACTACAAATAATTCTTTCGGGGGAGTCCATGTCATAATGAAAGTTTGACAAAAGATCTAGACACAACATTATTTAGAATTGGTGGTGTTACTTGCATGCAAAATAAAAGAGATTAGAAATGTATTGATTGCTTAAACTTCATGTTAAATAAATGAGCTATCAGATATTTAACAGTGAACCGGCTTCGTCTTTACTATATTCATGTTGTTTAAATGAAGATACATAATCCGATGAGCATGTATAGAGTACATGAATGCCTCTCTGTATCTCCACTTGGAGATATTACAGACTTCAGTATAAGCTACAGTGGAAGCAGTCTTTGTATGATTATGGCATTATCTTAAACCATCGTGGCAAGACAAATATACTTTGTTCTGAAAAATGAAAAAACTAATAGTTTGACAAACATTTGGTTACTTTCACCACCGATACATATAACCACTACGTATGGTACCAAATCACTAGTTTAAAAATAACCAAAGAGTCATTCCCTTTTATCATTCTTTTCCAGCGATTTGATCCCTCCATTGCCCGTCATTCCCAAACTTAAATTCATCACCTCTAAACCTCATTTTGTAAGGTTTTGCCAAAGCACCAAATATTTTCAAGATTGGGATCTCGGATGAGGTAGAATAGCGTGACCTAGAGTTCCTTTAGTTCCTAGTGCTAAACTACAATGACGGAATGACGGTTAACAGATCAAACTAAGATATAACGGGTTAGAGTTCAGAAATCAATGAATTGTTAGCATCTGGCTCAGGTTTCAGCAATCACAAGAGAGTGAATTGCTGTAACAAAAATATTCAGCAACTTTAGAAAAAATACAGAGAAAAGGGTATGCTTCTCTGCGAGGGTTCCACTTTCATTATTTAACCATGAAATGCCATTAATTCAACACATCTTGTTCCACAGGAGAAGGCATTATTTGTACTAAAAAACCTGAAAGACTTGCACAAACCTTCAAATTTTTTTATTTGATAAATAATAATCGATTAAAAAGCATTCAAAAGGGGAACGCGTCCCTTAAACAAAGCGGAACCGGGATCTAAGGACCCAAAGAATCCAAAAAATTAACTAAGTCATCGGAAGAGGAGCAATCCTCTTCACGTAACTAAAGATAGAGCGAATAATATGAAGTTCCAATGTCGCCATGGGCGACTCCTTCCCTTCGAACATTCTGCTATTCTAAATTTGATTGATTTCAATATAACCAAATAGAAGAGAAGAATTTCTGGAAATGGAAGTCTCTAAACTATTAATGGACTTGGACTACAAACCCAAGCCAAAGTAGGAGTCCCAAGAGTTGAGAAATGCTAAACTAAAAAAACAACTCATAAAATTTTCTAAAACTTCAGATATAAAACTTTTTGAACTCCGAAAATGACTCAATCAATCCTGGCCAAGAATAAGACAAGCCTGATACGTAAAACCATTATCAAGGGTTTAGCCTGAATTTTATCTCCTCTTCCTTTCAATTGGAAGGTTGAGGATTTGAGTCCCCAATGGGACAAATTTGGACGTGTGAGAGATAGGTAAAACTATTATAAAGCCCCTACACTATAGATAATGATGCATGTACTTGCTAGGGAATTCCTCTGCTTTGTTTACTACTCCTGGATCACTTTCCCTTATAATTATTTATTTTACAAGAATTGGCTTGTAGCTGTATATTATTTTTCCTTGTCTTCCTTTTAGTTGTATATGTTTCATGTTTTATCTTTTTTGATCTTATTTTCCTAGTCTATATCACTTTCATTCTTCGAATTAGACACAATAGGCCATTCAATATGTTTAAACTGAACTTCAAAACTGGGATGTGCTTCCTTTTTTTTTTTTTTTTTTGGGGTGGGTCCCCAGTTAAATTACTTGATGCTTCTGCTTATGGATAATTAATAACCAACTATTGATTTCAACTTCTGCTCATATGAAAACCGAACTCGGGGTACAGAATCTGTTACTTACGGCTTAGTCCCAACTGCAATTTCCCTACTACAGAAATTACCATCTTGTACAGTTGTACACTCTTTGAACTTATCTAACTACATTCTACATTCTCTATGATATGCATGCTATCAACTATTTTTGATAAGTAAGAATGTATTAGAAAGCGCTCAAAAGGGGAATGCATCCCAAGGAACTACACAACGACGAAAGCCAAAAGGCCGGCCCAAAAAATCAACTCTCTCCTCTAAAGATTTAGAATTTCTCCCCATAACCCAACAACAAAGAGAGCAAACAATAGAAAACTTTAAAACCCCAAAAGGAGATTCCTCTCCGTCAAATGATCCCCTATTCCGTTCCTTCCAAATGCACCACTAGACACAAGAGGGTGCCACTCTCCAAAAAACTTGGGCGTGAGGGCTCCACATGGAAACCTCTTCAAGCATCAATCAATCCTCTTGTAGACCTAGGCATAACCCACTGAACACCAAACATTTGAAGAGAAACATGCTGAATGCACCACAAACTGTTGCCTCTACTCGAACTCCTATTAATTTGGTTTGGGCTTCTTTGTTTTGCTTTGTTTTTCTGTAATAAATTTCAGGCTTGTTTTCCCAATTTTCCAATACATATTAGGTCCATGATTCACAGCTTATACTGATCCTAGGTAAAGATAAAGATATGGGTCAAGAGCTGATACTCATACCTAAGAGCATGATAAAACAGAATAAGCAGAAGAACATTCTAGGTTGGGCAAAGGGAGATTAAGGCACCAATTGTCCAGGGGCAGACAACTGTGGAGACAAGGGAGGGAGGGGGTAAGAATTGGGCAAAGGGAAAGCAAGAGAACAATTTACCATGTCTAGGGGCATACCACTCCTAATTTTTTTTTATTTTTTATTTTTATTTTTTAATACTGTACTATAGGTTTGGTTATAGAAACTTAGTTTTAGAAAATTTACAACGTGGTCCCCCAACTTAGAAAATTTACATTCCTGTTTATCAAAATTAGGTTTTTGATAAAATGATTTACAGAACAGTGAACCTTGAACAAATAGTTGATCAATCAAGATCTGTGCAAAAAATTATTTTGAAATCCAAAATGCCTCGACCGATGCGTTGATCGATTGAAGCTTGTCTAGTGGCACTTGATCGATGCGGACTCACTTTTATGGAAACTCTCAAATTAAAATCCTAAAAGGATATTATTAAACATACTACATGAGTCGCCTATATCATCTATAAACTAAGAAGCATGGATAAGACATGACACTGACACGACACATCAAACGTAAAAGTTTAACACATGGACAAAGCGAGGACACAACGACTAATAAATGTATATTTTTATATATATGATCATGTATTTTAAGAGCAATATTATTTTTCATTAACCTAATAATGAAAAATCCACAAATCATAATAATTAATGAGCTGTAAAAATAAAACTAGTTTATCGTTTAAAGAACAACACAATTGAATCTACTCCACAATAACAATAATAATTGTTTCTTAAACCAAAAATTATAAACATTATGTTATGACACCATATTATTAAAAATGTTCAAGGAAGTCATCATATTTACAAACACATATTTTTTTAACACTTTCTCAACATTCCCTAACAATGCAATACGTGTGTTAGACACGTGTTTGTACTGTGTCTGCAGTGTGTCTAAAAACTTTAAAAATTTCCGACACGTATATTAGGGTATCCAACACATGTCAAACGCATGCTGGTGTCCGACATGTGTTTGAGACGGATTCTTTGACCTTTTAGGTGTGTCTTTTTCCTGAGCCATAAATATGGGTAATACTTTGTGTAGGATCTCTCTCACTGGCTAGGAAGCACGGACACGCCTAAAAAGGCAAAGAATCTGTGTCGAACACGTGTCGGATATCGACATGCAATGGACATCTTTGACCTGTTAGACATACCAAAAAAATGTGTTTGAATTTTTTTTTTTTTTTTTTTTTTTTTTCTAAAAAATATTCGGACACGGCAAAGACACGCGTCAAACACGCCATGGATACATTTCCAACACGTGTCCCATTCTTGGGGATTTTTCTATAAGTAAGACATTTGGGGATTTTAATAAAGTTTTAGAAAGAAAGCTAGGTTGAAGTGAAATAGTGAGGAGTTGTTTAATAGCTTTAAGTAACATGATAATCACTACATAATTACTTAAAAGCTGTTTTTTTTTATAAAACAATGTTATATTAAAGAATAAGATATTTATGCTTATATTTTATTTCAAAGGTTCAAACTCTAGCACGATCATCTTTGACTCTCTCTTGTTCTCCCACCGACTCCCGGTGGATGGCCTCTCTCTCTCCCCCCTCTTCCTCTTTTCTCCCTTCTTCTTTGTCCTCCTCTCTTCTTTCTTCTTCTCCTTCTTCACAAACCGTAGATACTTCTTTTCTTCCTTTCACAACAAAATTATTTCCCTCTTTTTCCGTTTTTCCTCTTGTTTCCTTGGACTTTTTCTCTTCTATGGATTCTTACTAACTAAGCCCTAATTCTTTTTCTAATCCCAATCCTCTTTCTTTCTTTGTTTTTTCTCTTTCTTAACTGTCGTTCTATCATTCTTTCTTTTTCCCGGCAAAACACACACATATATTTTTTCATTATTAGGTTGATAAATTATACTCTTAATTTCTTAAAGTAAAACATCATATATATATATAAATATATATTTAGTATTCGTCGTGGCCCACCGTATCCATGTCCTAATTTTTAAGGATTTTCCGTGTCGCTGTGTCCATGTCGTGTTCTGTATTCGTTTCCATGCTTCTTAGCTCACTGGAGCTTTCAACTCTTGACATACAAGAGAATTTATATTTTTATAGAGAGAGCTTTGAGAATCAATCTAGGGTCTTCATAGATTACCATACTATATGTGATTGAGAGAA